CACATGGCCGGAAAGCGGAGGGCGTTGGAGAGAAGCGGCGTCGGGGGACGTGGATGAGCGAAGTTACGGCGTTGGTTTTCTTTCCTGCGAAGTCCTCCTCTCCGGCGGACATCCCCAGCCGCGACGAGCGTTGGTTTCAATTGTTAGTTGTTTTAAAAGAAAAGGAAGAAAAAAGGAGGCCGACGCTGCCGTACTGTCTTCTCCAAACATACAGGCACGCTCGCTGCAGCCTGGGAGGTCAAAATCCGTTGCCTTCGTTAATAACGAAAAGCCCAACACTGTGCGTGTTTTAGCGGGCATGGATTCAGTGGATCAAATCCTGAAAATTAGTTGTTCTCTCTGTCTTGTTAAAGTAGACGGGTCTCGTTACTCGCCACGGGCCCGGCGTGGCGCCCACCGCCGTAATTCTTGGGGCGAGGGGATTTATTGTTGCCGTTGCACATAACAACAGCAGTTGAGATCGGGTCCTGGGCGCCAGGGCTGCGTCTCCGGTGAGAGCGGAGCTCCTGGGGAGCCCGGGGATGATTAGTGTTAGTATCGAAGCATCTTTCCAGGTGGAAAATCCGCATCTCCTGGGCACGTGCTGGTACGTACTGATAACAGGAAGGTGGGGTTGATGAGTGCTACCGGTGTCCTTAGAGCTGTGGCGCACTCAGGACGGCTGCCCCGGAATGGCTGCTTGTTCTCATGCCTTTTGTGCGTGAGAGCACCACGAGGAGAACTGAAAGTGGCCCTGATTTTAACCATACATCATTGCCCCTGTCTGCTAGGTCCATAAACTTCGCCTGCAGGCTGAAATAGCATTGACTCATCCTGAACTCTCTTCCAGTGGCTGATTACTGAAGTGGAATCTGTCTGATCGACTTAATAAGAATTTACCACTGCACTAAATGACGAAAACTTGTTTTTTGCATGGCTGGGTTTTTGCAGTTGATAGCATTTTGAGCTCTCCCTCCTGGAGGCAAATAATCCTCATAAATACTCTTATTCCTGACCTCATTAGTCAGATCCAGAGCCAACACCATTTTGAACTGGTGTCTAGAAAGCTGTTTTAGGTATTTCTAAACATGTTGGGAAGTGAGAAAAAACTGACCTGTGCACCTTGCAATAACAATGTAGGGTTCCTGCAAAGGACCAACAGCCTGGAAGACAAGGGCCGGATCGTCAGCTCCCTGAAGGAGAGGCAGTCCTCCAAGAGCCTGCTGGCGTGCGAGAACAGCGAGAAGGAATCCAGGTTCCGACGCACCGAGACAGACTTCTCCAATTTGTATGCCAGAGGTAAACGCTCTTTACAGCTTCTGCTTGCTCCAGCTCGGGCACGTCCTTTAGCAGTCTGCTCTCGCCTCCCTTAGAAGTGCAGCCACGTTCAGACCCTTTTTTTGCTTGGTTGTTTTTGAAGGAAGCTGTGTGTGGGGAGGGGATGTACGTGTGTGTGTTTTGTTTGTTTGCTGAGAGCCGCACTGGCGATGTGTACAAGTTTCCTGAAATGCAATTTTACATACTTTGGGCTGATCCTCTGCAGCCCAGCTCCAGCGGTTCCTCCGGGGTCACTCCAGATCCAGCCTCCGGGAAGACAGTAATTTTATATTTTATTTCCTCCCCAGTAAAATAGCAATGAAACCGTCTGTGATTGCTGCTACGGGGCCATTGATGAGGAGGGTGGGGAAGGGAAATCAATCCCTTTGCGGGCCGGGGGGAAGCGTTGCAGGAGAAGGGCAGGTGCGGGTTTGGGGTGCTCTTGGCCCCCGGCAGGTGAGTGCACCGCACTGCACAGCGTTAGCGTTGCAGGGCGTGCTTTTGGTCGGGGTGCCTCGGAGGTGCCCCCGCTGTTCCCGTGGGCGACCTGGGCTCGCCCTTCGCCGCCGAGGGAGAGGGGCC